CTTGAAAATGTTAGCCTAAATTTTTTCAATTTTGTCGTTTGTAATCCATGTTAATCTGCTCCATCCTTAACGATCTTCGTTCGTTCATGGTATATTATTATCTTTTTGGTGTTTCTCTATCTTAGTAAACCACTATTTTCAGGTTCCCTATAATTTAAATAATATTTTGTACGTGGTCGAAATAACTCAAAATACCGTGACTGAGCTTCTTTAAATCATAAGAAGCTATAAGAACTTTGTACATTTGTTTTCTCTCCTAATTCCTGTTTTTTTGTTTTGTTTTGTTTTTCTATTGCAGTGAGATAATTATGTACACCAAAGTTGCCTGCCTGTTGTTCATCATTTTGGGGGCCCTTACCGTACAGGGTGCAGTCTCCGGAAACAAGAGGATGAACCCCTTACACGCCAGGCAGTTGGCTGGGTGTGAGTGTCTCATTGTTCCATTTGACGACAACCGCACGTTGTTCAAATTGTACTTTTTAACTGATTTGTGAACATATTCATTAGACTGAACTACCATTCTTAGGTTGTTCTTGGAGCATGACTCGTTGTTTGCTAGCAAAGAAACGATCATTTTTTGTTTTTGTTTACAGTTTGCATGCCCGATTGGCCAGTACTTTGCCTCCCGGAGAACGAGGAATGCCCAACTCTATATGAACCATGCCGCGACATGGCATGCTTCCACAACCGTCGTTGCTGCTGCAGGTATGGATTCTTAGCGGGGAATTATTTATTTTATTTGTTAACATGTCAATACTTCAATCCCGTATTTACATCTGTTGTTATTGCTTGTTTTTTTTTTTACAATAACTACATTACACCGTTTTTGTAATAAAAACTAGCGATAAAAACTGCGAGTTAAAAATACAAAATTAGCATAAATGTTTCTATCAGTGGAAGATAGTTAAAAATGTGACGTCAAAAATTAAAGTTAAATTAAAACTTTATACACAAGGATACATAAACTAAAGCCCAGTCCAGACTACGTCGGAGGAATTTGAAAACGCAGCTTTATTTCTACGGTCAGGCCTACCGTCCACACAAACCCTTCACGAAAACGGAGCTTTTCGAAAACAGTGACGTCATGTTATCATGTGACCTCCCTACCCTAGTTTTCCTCAAACACAAATCCAAAATGACCGGTGATTGTTGCTTTTTCAAAATTGTCCGGAGTAGTGCGGACTAAAAACATTTAATGCAGTTTGAGGTGAAAACGGCGTTTTCAAATTTCTCCGGCGTAGTGCGTCGGAACCTAAATAACTCACATCTATTTTACGAGATGGAATAGACTGATCTGAAGGCTGGCCTGCTCTGTTAAAAAAATGAAGTCCATTTATAATCAGTATTATATAATCTAACGGGTTCCAACCTTCTGCTACTTTTCAAAGCTCCTCGCTCCTCGCAATGTTATGTTATGAATAATGTTTAACCCCGAGTTATCATAAACATCTTTTCTTTTCCCAGGCCTAGGATTCCGTGAATTGCAACAGTGACGTCTCGACAATGGAATGACGGTTTTAACTTAGTATTAAAATGATAATTGGGAAAATAAAAGTCGAGGAATTAAGTTAGTAAATGCGGAATGCGGGGTTGGGATTCTGGTAAATATGGGTAATCTGAGAACTTCAAAAATGTAATACGGAGGATAAATAAAGGCTGAATCATTCAATAACGTTTCTCCTGTCTCTATCCTTTGTTGTGAGGGGGTGGGGGAGGGGGCATCCCGTACCCTGCTCTCCCGCTTCCCTTACCTTTATCTCCCGACTCCCGCTTTTGTCCGTCTTGCTACCCTCAGTGATATCTAGGAACTTTGTAGAACCGAGATCATCTAGAAAAGCTTTTAAGGGTCGATAGTTTTGATTTGAGAATTTTCACAACGTCATAGGAAAGCCAAATTATCGGCACACAATGCATGCACAAGCGGCGACGTTTAACTACCAAGTATAGTATTCTGGCTAGAGAATTGGAAAATAAACAAACAAACGGATGCTTCAACGTAAATAGAAGTAACTGAAGGTGAAACCTGTCATCGTTATTTGTAGAGTGAGGTGAATTGCAGAGAATAAAACAGGAGTAAAAAAATAATGCACATTGTCGCGGTGGGAGGGACAAAAATCCTTTCTGTTGTTCCATGCAGTTGATATATAGCGGTTGTAATTCAATGTAATAAAGTCACCAAAAGAAGAAATTTGTCTCTCATAACTTTTAATTATTATCTATTTAGCCATGTTTGCAGCCTTAAGGATCAATTCAGAAGAGTTTCAAGTCAAAAAACATTGCACATTGCAGTGATGGGAGGGAGAAAAATCCTTTCTGTTGTTCCATGCAGTTGATATTGGTTGTAATTCAATGTCATGAAGTCAAATCTCCTAAATATAGTACCAAAAGAAGTAATTTGTCTCCCCTAACTTAATTATCATCTATTTATCCATGTTTGCAGCCTTAAGGATCCATTCAGCAGAGTTTCAAGTCATAGCCATAATGGTAAAAAAAAAACACATAATTCACAAGCAGCTTAAAGAAATATCAATAATTATATGTTCCAATGCACTATAAAGGGGAAGGTGGCCAGTGGTCTAGTAAATATTGTCAAACAATTTGTTTCGGAAGGAGTTTTCTGTATTCAGTTCAATACTCAAGCATGATTTCCTGTAAAGTTTTATTCTTAAAAGACACAAAAACGCATTTCACCGAAACATATATGAGAAATATAGCCCCCATGTGAGAATTTAATGAAAGTACCATGATAATTATTATTAAATGAGTTGTATTATACGGTACGTGTGTTTAACCTGTTTTAAACAATTCATTGCATGTCTTACCATACTTAACTTTAACATTAAGGTATACTATACCAGTCAGCCAGGGAAAGCTGTCACAACTATGGTTGTCTATGTACATACCGTAAACTTCCGAAAGTATAGTAACGACCCCCCGAAAGTAGGGACCCTCCGAAAGTAACGTTAAAAAATTGTGGCCACTAATTATAGATTTCGAAAGTAGTGACCCCCCGAAAGTAGCGAGCCCTTTGAAAGTAGGAGCCCAGCACCACCCCTCTCCCACCGAGAATAATGAGACCGAGGTTCAGCAGAATATTTATTTTTCCAATCAATAGTCAGGCGAAGGTTGCGTATGGTAACTTGATTTAAGGCACTCTATAACAAATCTATCGTTTATGCCACGGAGCGTTGTGAAATGTCCATTCGTGCTTCGTTAGTTCATGTTGCGCCGTGTTAACAAAAAAAACGTAAAACTTTCATCAAGTAACAGGAACGCACTTACAGGAGCTTTTCTTTAAATTAGTATAACTCTATATCATATTCTTCAAATTTAAATTGAAAACTCGACCAACGCACTGAGATATTGTTATTACGGACTAACATAGGACTGCGTCATGAGGTAGAAACATTTTACAGTATCTGACTAGCTTTCCTGTCGACCACTGACAACACGGTCTAGACATGAAGACCTCACCCATGTGGCAGAAACATAGCAGAGTTCTAAAACTGGGGAAAATGATCCAACTCCTCTTGCATCTTAATATTCCCCAGTTTTGGATGCAACACATGACATGTTTAAACTAACTGCGCGCAAGAAATATTTGATGGATTATAAATTCACAGTAGGCTTTTTAATTTTTCTAACCTTTTTTATTATAAATAGTTATATATATTTTTAATGTTCCTGCACTTGAAGAAGGCCGAATGCTAGAACGTCCATTCACGGGAACAGTCAACAGTTTGTCTCTTCGTACCGTCATTTACACCTATCTAATTAGCATCATAAAAATTCTTGTTTTTCGGCCATTTCAATTTTAAGAGAAAGGGAAAACAAACTGTGGTCACAAACATAACAAACAGGTTTCGCATGGTATTAAACTTGACGTTTCGTATGTTACAACATACATCTTCAGAAGTGACGGTTACAAAATATGACACGATTTAAAAAGACTAAAATTAAAACGAGGTATTGGTAACTAGGTAGAAAACAATGAACAAAAGAAACTACATCCGGTGTGAATTAATAAAGAAAGAGAGTTTCACTACCGAAGCTCATTTGGGGCGGGTTTTAAGTCCCGTATTAACAATCTTTCCTTGATTTTACACTGTAAATCACATTGACCACTTGCTAGGATCTCAAAATGGTCCCATTTGCTGTTGTGACCAGTAGAAGTTGCATGATCAGCAACAGCGGAGGCGTGACCAACTTGAGTGAGAGCTTTGAAGTACTCCGTCTTTCTGTCAATATTATGACAATATTATGACCAGATCGATGGTGTCCCGGTGGGATCTTCATTAGGCCCTGTCTTAGCTAACATTTTTATGTGTCATTTTGAGGAGAGCTGGTTGGCTAATAATCAGTCCCGACCGTCCATTTGGTTTAGATACGTGGATGACACTTTCTCCTTATTCGACAGTAAAGACACCGCTTCCAGATTTTTAGATTTTCTCAACAGCAGACATCCCAACATCAAATTCACCATGGCACTTGAAGAGAACCAAGAGATCCCATTCTTGGATGTTTGTATCAAGCGTGATCACAACACATTTTCAGCTACTGTACATCATAAAAAGACTTTCACTGGTCTTTACACCAAGTGGGACTCCTTTACTCCCAGAAAGTATAAGATCAATCTAATCCGAACACTTACCTATCGTTGCTTACGC